GGGACCGCGGCACCGTCAGGGCCCCGGAGCGCTAGCCTACGGGCACCCCCGCCCAGGATCCTCGGGCAAAAAGCCAGCCGCTCCCCCACGCCCGCCGCGGGAGCCGGGACCCACGCAGGACGCTCACCTTGCCAGCCGGAAAGGGAAAAAAAAAAAACACTCCTGAGAGAGCCGGTTCCGGCGCAGCCTCCGCGGCTGGGAGCCCAGATCCCGATTCAAACTGCCCGCGGCCGCCGCCCGTTTACGAGTCTCCCGCTTCCGGTCTCGGCCAAACTCTCCTCCAAGCCTATTGGTCGCCGCCAGCAGCGGTGGGCCAATCCGCTTCCGCGCACTCGGACCGCCACCTGTGATTGGTCCTTTCGGACGGATTTAAAAATCAAGCCCTCACCACGTGAGGTGCCGGAGTTACAGGGCTCTTTTGTTGTTGTTGCTGGGCCGGGGCGGGGGCGGGAGGCGGAGACCACGTGCTTTTGCCGGAGGAAGTTTTGAATGGAACCGCTTCTGCGGCAGAAGCGGCGGAACCCCGCGGCCGATTAGAGGGTGCGGCCTATCGCCGCTGGCCAGCCGGGGAGTGCTCTCTGGGGAGACACTTAATACTGCACATGCACTTCTACTTATTTATTAAATATACAGTTTAGGGCATAGATACTTGGGGCTATGCTAGCCATGCGTCCTTCATCTAGTGTCATTCTTCTCTTTTTTTTTTTAAAGTTAAGTGAGGCACATAGAAGCTGTGTCATTTGAAATTGAACCTGGATCATGCAGGACCTCTTAACTACTGTCCTTTATTGATCTTTTTTTTTTTTAACTCCCTTTGATCACATTGTAAAGAGTGGTTGGGAACACTTGTTACCTGGAATTCCACAGGACAGTGAGGCCCGAAGAATCTCCAAAACGATGTCATCTCTCCTTTTTATGGAGCCCACTGTTCAGTGTGTGTTTATGTACTTGTTCTGTTTCCTTATTCAACTAAAAAGAAGCTGCTAAATAGAACCCAATTTAAATGCCACGTTCTTCATAAAACCTCCCTATTTTCACCCATCCCTTAGAAATAATTATTTCCTGGAACTATAATGCTTACACATTATATTTATATCTATGTCTGCCCTCCCCACACCAGACTCAAAAATTCCTGGAGAGTAAAATCTGTTTCTGTTCATCGTTGTGTCTCTTGTAACTCCCTATACTTCCCACACAGTGATTTAAAAATAAGACCATCTTGGGAAGTAAAACTACCTTGGGAGGGAGCAGACGGGGGAAAGAACTTTTATTGGACACTACCATGGTCAGTCTAGTATCTGGCCATTCTGGGATTCAAACCAAATTCTGACTCTAACACCAATTACAAACACATTGTTTCCCAGGTAATTATTCAACTGTATATTAGCTGCCTAAGGAAAACAGAAATAGAAAGGTTTGAATGAGAAATTTATATTTGCTATTCATACATTCATTCATTTAATAGATACCTATTGAGTGGCCACTCTATAGCTAAGCCTCGTGCTATGTTCTTCTGTAAAAACAGTGAAGAAATACATTCACTTCTTGAACAAGAGAATCATGTGATGGAGACTATTCTAGCAACTTCTGTGATATTTCTATATTTCAATTTTATTTATTTTTGAAATACAAGGAAAAGTTTATTTTAAAAGTCACAGAGGTAGAAGTGAGCCTTAGAAGGAGTGAGCCAGCTGGGCTGCGTGGACTCAGGAAACAAGTTACAGAGGCAAAAGAAGGGCCCTTGGAGCTTAGAGGGGAGAGAGGGAGAGGTGGAGAGAAAGAGAGAGAAAAGGTACTCATGTGCCTTGAGGGAAGAAGAGGGGGAAAGGTGCAGGTGTGCTCCAGAGAGAGTGCTCCTGGGGGGAAAAAGGGGTGGGAAAAGGCAAGGGCATGCTCGAGAGAGCAAGAGAGAGAGAGAGGCACCTGCCTGTACTTCAATTTTATGGTTTCCTTCTCTCTCTATTTCCCCCCCAGTTTTGTTTATTGTTTTGTTTTAAGGACTGAAGTGGGTGAGTCCCGTCCAACCAAATGTGGAATGTCTTTTGAGAGTCCATTTTCGGCTCCCTGCCCTTCCCTGTTTTTAAAATCCACTCCCTCACTGAGCCAGTCCACTCTCTCTGGACGGTTCATCCACCATCTCTACTTCCTGCCTATGAATCAGTGCTCTTTGGTTCCAGCACCAGACAAATGAATTAGACCAGCTGATACTGGCCAAGAATGGGGTGATAGAGCAGAGAGTTGATGAATATATGAGTCTGGACCTCAGGACCAGTTGTAACAACAGAGACCATAGTTTACTCCACTGACTTTCCTGTACAAAGTCTTTTTTAGAGATCGTGGCCATCGTGTTGAAGGTACAATGACAGAGTGAACTTGACACAGAAACAAGTGGATCTGAGCAGGGTGAGGTGTGATCTATAGCAAGTACTTTATATGACATCCTCTTGGCCCACCTTGATTGTAGCCACAGCTGTGGTAGGTAGATAGTTCTGTGTGGGCTCAGACTGGTTCCACCTCAAGAGCAAGCCATGGGTCACTTCAGCCCTTTCCGAAGCTGAGGGAGCCTGCTAGGCCAGTACACAACAGGCAGGAAGTTTGAGGGCAGTGATAGCTTCCAGGAGCAATCCTCAATGAACAGGGTCAGGAACTAGTGGATAAATAAATGCCTTGTGTTGTGTCTTTCACATGGGCTATTCTGAGAGATCCTGGAAGAAGCAAACCCCTGGCACCTGCTGCAACAGTTGTGAAAGAGCACCCTTCTACTGGCTGTTCCTCCTTCCCTGTCTCGCTCTCCCTTGGACCCACTTTGCTTCCTGGAATCATCATCCAACTAAACTTCCATCTAAGGGTTTATCTTCGTTTCTGCTTTGAGGAGAACCCAAACTAAACAGAAAGTGTCATACACATATGATTTATTATTTTCAGCAAGTGAAAACTCCATCTTGATCTCCCAAATGTATCAAAAGCTTCTGTTATGTAGATGGGACCTCAGCTACTACATCTGGGATATTAGAAGTGTAATTATAATAAATTTGCCTGGTACCAGTGGTTTTTAGATCAGGGGTTTCTGGTAGATAAGGATCATGCTTTTCATGCTTGTTTTGTGCATATCTGGACTTCTTTTGCCAAAAAAACCCCATGAACTTAACACATTCTTTAGGACAAGAATTTCGAAGCTCGAATGTTACATATTCAACATATTAGTATGATTTTTAAAAAGTCAATTACAAAAAATGAATATTTGACATTTTGGTGTTTTTTTTTAATTGATTTGAGAGAGAGAAACATTAACGAACACACCCTGACCAGGGATCAAACTGCAACCTGAATACGTATCCTGTCCGGGAATCGAACCGGCAACCCTTTGGTGCACAGGACAACACTCAACCAACTGAGCTGCACCAGCCAGGGCTATATGTCTTACATAAACTGATAACAAACCATATGGACACTACTCAGTGATATGAACTAAATCACAAATTTAAAAAGCTTTTTCTATTCCCACCACTAGGTGATTCCCTCGGCCTTGGAAAATCTTAAAAATAACTACTGTCCCACACCCTGACTCACTACATTCTCTTTCTATCTCTCTCCCTCTGTCTCTCTCTTCCCTCAATGTAGCTAATGTTCTTGTTTACTTTCTTTTTAATGTAACATTTGTTTGTTTAAAGTAGAGAAAAACAACAAAAAATAATGGCCCATAATCCTACTGCTTATATAAGCTTTCTTATTAACAAAGTAATACCACATGCACATAATAAGAAATTCCAAACATTCAAGAAAGATACAAAAGGTGAACTTGGGAAACTAGAATCAACATTGGCTATCCACTACACTGAAATCTCATTTTGTAGCTGAGGTCAATGAGATTAAGATATTTACAAAATGCACTGGCCAAAAAAGAAAAAAAACAAAGAAAACAGTTTAAACAGATAAAACCTCATCATTCTTCAATCAATTACCTCATAAAAATTCGAAACACATTCTTATGACTCTTGCAATAGTAATTTTATGAATAAAGGAAATTATTTATATAATTTAAAATTTCCAGTAGCATTTCTTAGGGGGAAAAATGCTTACCTGGTGATTATTTCTTCCCAAGTGTCAAAATCAATGTTTACTATATTTTCTATTCCTTGGTTAGAAACCTGATGCTCAAAGAAAGAAAGTGGCTGGTACAGGTCCAAGGTTCCAAAATGACATTATATAGTCAAAAGTCAATCTCCCAACTTGCAAGACAAGTTTGCTCAAAGAGATGACAGTTCAATTGGTCTCCTGCTCATTTTCAATAATAGTTTTGATCCAGGTGTTAGGTTAACCACGAAATAAAGTGCATGATTCTCCCAACCTCTATGATCAGGTGTTTGACACCTTGGAATAAAAGACAAAGAAATTCCCTAAACCAGGAATAAAATTTTAGTGTCCTTAAGAATATCATGGAAAGCTTTTCTAAAATGCAGAATTTGAGGCTATACCCAGTTCTAATTTAAAGGCTTGGGGTGGGGCCCTGGCTGCTGTGGCTCAGTTGCTTGGGCAACCTCCCTTGCACCAAAAGGTTGCCCATTGGATTGCCAGTCAGGGCACCTGTCTGGGTTTCTGGCTCGATCTCTGGTAGGGAGCATGCAGGAGGCAGCCAATCAATGTTTCTCTCTCTCTCCCTTTTTCCTTCCTCCCTCTCACTCTAAAAACAATAAAAATACATTAAAAATAAAAGAAAAATGGCTTGGGGTGGGGTACAGAAATCCATTTACGGGCCCTTCTTTTGCCTCTGTAACTTGTTTCCTGAGCCCATTTCTTTTATGACTCACTTCTTCTACTTCTGTGACTTTCTAAATAAACTTTTGCTTGTTAAAAAAAATTAATTTATGAAGCACTCCTGTGGTCAATAGATAAGGTAAATACACTTCCTGGTTTATTTCTATTGTCCTGGTACCCATCTGTTTCAATGTGTCCCAGAGTTGTTGTTGCTGCTTTTAACAGAATACTATTATTAATAGTTGTATCAAAATAATGCTAGATGGGTTTGGTAGATCACTTTGTACTTCCACATCCTACCATGGTCTTCTCTAGCAGTGTGTGAGATACCTGTACAGTAAGCAGAGATATGTAACGAGTGGTTAAATCTGAACTATCAGTGAGAATCCCTCTCACTTTTTCAAAACCTTTCTTGACACAGGAAACTAATTCCTCCACTTTAAGGAGAGCACAAAGGCCCGGCCTGAG